AAGGCATTTATCATAAGGGTTTAATATGTTTAAATGCTTTGGTTTTAGATATTTTAAAAGATATTTAAATATGCATGATATAATAAATACCCTGTACATTACTTTTCAGAGTTAATTCTTGTGCTGACTTTGAAGTCATAGAAATAAACTTTACTAAAAAATGTTATTGCCTCCTTAAATGTATACAGGGGTATCAAAAATTGCTGGTCTATTTTAAATATTTATTTTACATAAAAACATCGTTATTTCAAATACAAAACTATGTATTTTTTTATATAAGTCGAAGCAGATTTAAATGCCCTTTAAAACTATATTAGGGTTTCCTATACTTATCTGGCTCAGATTTTTAATAAAAAGCGATTTTTCAATAAAGTGGCAATCAAGATGGCTGGTGCCACCATGGCAATTTGCTAGTGACAGTTAGCAGCTATTTTCAAAATCGACATTAGTTTATGGACTTTATTTAAATTTATAACAGTTTACTTTTATTTAATTTACCTACAATAGTTTGATAAGTAAGTATTTATTATTTTATCAAGAAAAATAAAGTAGTAGTTCTTTGATTTTTATTACGATTACTTGTAGATATATTGGATTTTCTATAAAAGAACCAATTAAGGCAAATTTATTTTCTTCGATTCCAACGACACGTTTCTGCCTAATAGGTTTTTCATATACCACACTATCAGCTCTGCGAAATAGGAAAAGTAGTTTTTCAAAGGAACGCTTGTCAAGTTAAATCATGTTGTCATTATTTGGATATCTTTGAGCGTAAACCCTTCAGCAGCCAACAAGCAATTGTCCTCACAAAATAAAATCACTAGTAACATATCCATTCCTTCCGCCAGCAGATACTGCTTCATTTTTCTTGATAAAATAATATATACTTACTTATTAACCTTATTGTAGGTAAATTAAATAAAAATAACCTGTTATAAATTTAAATAAAGTCCTTAAAACTAATGTAGATTTTGAAAATAGCTACTAAGTGTCACAAGAAAATTGTCATGGCGACACCAGCCATCTTGATTACAATTTTATTGAAAAATCGTATTTTATTCAAATTCTGAGCCAGATAGATACAGGAATTCCTAATATAGTTTGAAAGAGCATTTAAATCTGCTTCGACTAATTTTAAAAAATAATAATAAGGGTGTTGCAATTGAAATAACGAAGTTTTTATGTAAAGTAAATATTTAAAAGAGACCAGCAATTTTTCATATCCCTGTATATATTTAAGAAAGCAATCAAATTTTTTAGTGAAGTCTATTTCTCTAGCTTGAAAGTCCGGCACAAAAATTAATTCCGAAAAGTAATGAACATGGTGTTGACAAACTTATTTATTATAGCCATGCATATTTAAATATCTTTAAATGTCTCAAAAACAAAAGCTTTTAAACATATTAGACCCTTATAATAAATGCCTTATTTTATCCCCAAGAATCCAAAAATGAAATAAAATACCGGCTGTTTCATAAGAAAAACTTTGGTATGGAGTTCTGACTTAGTTCGGACACACCCTGTACATTTCAAAGTAATTTTAAATTATGCACATTGCCTTCCTACATATATCCATAAAATATTTTGTTTCTACATCTTTCCGTTTTCGTGTAATTAACCGACGCGAATGAGGTGTGCCACCCTGTATATAGGTATGGTTCATATGAAATAAACTTTTAGTCACGTGATTAAGTTTGCTCAGCGTTGCTCAATTTTACATAATATTTTGTTTTAATCAAGATATTTTAGGAAACAAAAATAAGTTAATTATAAATAAATAAACAGTTATTATTTACATCAAAAAAACTCACGTTCTTAACAGCAGTTAAAGGACATAAAGGGCTATTACTACCTCTCTCCCGTTCAAAATATTCTAATAAACAGTTGCGATGAGTTTTTACGACTATTAAGCTATCTTGTACACTTCGCAATAAAAAAGGTTCTAAAATAAACAATCCTCAACTGCAAGGTCTGCTAGTAAAATTTGTTAAGCTTAAAGTGTCACAACACAATTCATTTAAACCAAAAACTCGTAATACACATCTAGTGCCAAAACTAATGACATGTCAGAAAATAAATAAATAAATGTGGCAACTTGACATTTTTTGCAGAACTATTACCTAACCCGTTTATGCCCGAATTATATTTTTTCATATTTTTTTATTAAAAGTGCACTTTTCTTAGTTAAGGCGTATCATGAACTAAAAAAAATAATCAAAGAATATTTTTTATTAAAATTTTAATTTTTGAAGCTGTTCCAATAATGGAACAGTGGGATTGAATGACACCATAGAGTTTTTAAACAAAAATATATTTAGATAAATATTTTTTTTTTATTTCGTATGGAACTGTACAAAACAAGACTCATGCAAGTTCAGGTTGGATTTTACACAAGCTTTAGTAGAATTTTTCTTACAAAAAGCACATCTATTTTGTTTTGTAGCATTGACGATCCAATGTCCGCTTTTGTCGAATCTCACCTGATCGGCCACTCTTGCAGGCAATGGTTTAGGTGTCTTAAGACGACCCCCTCCAGTAGGTGGACGCCCATACTTCTGAAGATAAACTTGAACTATCGTTCTACGAAAGGCTAAATAATCTAACTTCTTCCCCCCTCCTTTTCTATAGAGTTGCCAAGCGTTATGTACACCTGCATCAACGCAAAAAGTAAATACTGCCCACCACCATTTCTTCGATCTAATTGATATTCTGTAGTTATCAATATTTTCGTCCATTCTATCCACACCTCCCATAAACTTATTATATTGTGACACTACAAAAGGCTGATTCACGGGAACTTTTTTTCTTTTGAGCCGATACCCAACGATTTACCTCTTTTTCGAGACTTACAGGGTCACAAGTACTAATTGTTAACACTATACGATTGTCATTCCAACTTGTAATAGTAACATTGTTTGTTGTGTCCGTGCAATAATCATAATGGCCACGGGCTTCCTTTTCCATAAGTTTTGCTCCAGTTATTGGGTACTTCTCGATTCTGTTATATTGTTCCAGTGAAACCAAAACCGGTTTGTTGAAGTCGGTGTACTACTTTTAAAGAGCTGACGAATCTATCGCAATAAATTTTAAATGGCTTATCTTGAGGCATGTCGTTTAACAAGTTCCATACAACGGAACCTCCAACACCAAGCTCAGTTTTAGTTTTGTCATTCTTTGTTTTTGGCGTGACTCCTTGATAGGGTTCAAATTTCATAAGGTAACCTAGAGGCTCACACAAGACCACATCTTGTATCCATACCTTATAGGTTTGCCCTTTATAAATTGTTTGGCGCCATGTCTACCAAAATAAGGGACCATACTTTCGTCTATACTAAGTATCTCTTGAAATTCGGAATAATCTAAACATCTTTTATTTAGGGCTGCTATTAGAGGTTCCATTTTTCCAAATTTATCATCCTTTGGAAGATCTGAGTTGTCCCAACAATGTAAATATCGCTTGATTATTTCAAAACGGTTTCGTCGCATCGCCTTTACAACAGCGTCATTACAAGCTTCTGATCCTATTTCCCACCATATGTGCCATCTAGGTACTACACAATAACCGGAAAGTAAAAGAATCGCTACGAAACAACGCATTTCGCTTGTATCCATTGTAAAATTATGGTCCTTTTTGTCACGCTTTGCGTATTTTATTGTGAAATTTGTTAAGTGCTCAAAAATACAGAGTGTAAACTCTGGAAAGGTCCGGACGAGGTCTGTTTGCTTTGACCAATTTCTGTTGGTTGGCAAAAGCCTTTTTTTATTTCAGACAAAGTCATGTTCATTTCGTCGTCACTATCATCAGTAGCATTTTCGTTTTGTCTTACTTGTACATCATTTTCTACAGTGAACTCACCTGTACTGGGAACAATCAACTCCGATTCTTCTTCATCTGTCTCTTCACCTATTCTGTGAGATTAACCTTGATTTCGAATCTTCGCTGAAGAACCTGCTCTCAACTGGGGATCACTCAGCTTATTTATATCATTGCAGTTGTCCTCGTCACCACTATCTTCCGCACTCTCCATACCATCTTCAGGGGGTGTCATGAAGACATCCGCTTCCCAAAAATCTTCATCTTCCACAAGTTGAATTAACTCTTCGGTAGTATAATACCTAGAATTAACAAAATGTTACTGGACTCATTCATGCCCACTGTTCCAATAATGGAACACTGAATTTTGCACAAGAATTACTAAAACTTACAAAAACCCTCTTAAAATTTAATTGCATAGATATTTTCTTACATGATTAAAAAACTAAAAAACGTATGTTACAACATTTTGAATAAACAAACAATACCTTCTAGATACTTACTTTCTGTATGCCATCCTTAACCTCAAAATCAGTAAACTTTATTTTTCGATTGAAAGCGTATACATCCACAGAGAAGCAAACGACCACACCAGTAGAGGTATCGATGTTTACTAAAAAGATCTCGCAGCATCCGAACACCGGCAGACAATGAGCACAATCATGGTGGGGGTAAAAATATAATGTTCCATTATTGGAACAGTGGTCAAAAATGGGCCAAATCACCGAGAAATTTAAATTCCAGTTAGCCCGGCGTCGAATATGTCCATGACTGGCAACAATGAATTTAAAAAGTGAGTATCGAATATAATAAAAAATAATATATTCTTCTAGATGTTCACACTAATATAAATAGAAAAAGACTATCTTCCTTATATAAACTTTTGTCATAAAACTACCTTTTTATTTCTAGTAAATTTGAAACTTTAAGTAGCGCAAAATCACTTTGGAACTGGGCAATAACATAAATATTTTCATCGTATAATCTAAAAACTTTCAAAGAAAACGTGGAAAGAACTTTACTTTTATAACTTCATCTTTTGATAAGTTTGTCAGTTAATGGAGTAAGACATTTCCTTTTTCTGTGATAGAACACCGACTGGCAAAAATATTTTTTAACAAGTTAAAATATAATAAAATGTGTATCAATGTCCAACAAATTATGAGAGGCAAAAAATAATTAAATATTTTTGTAACATAAAACACAAATAATATGGTTTATTATAGGATAAAATATATAGTAATAACATAACATATATCATTTTAGACACCTTCTTGAGCCATGCGATATTCAAATACACTGCCTCTTTCTAAAAACACTTTTTGACTGCTTGTTGGTCCTGGAAAGGTTTTATCAGCTTCCTCCGGTAATCCATAGCCACCCCCACCAGGGGTAAGTAATCTAAAGGCATCCTAAAACAATAAAATTCATTAATCAAAACCTTAATATACAGGGTCCGGCAATAGTGAGTCGAGCATCTGTAGCTCCTAGAATAAACAATTTGGGAATTTTGTTTTAAGTGCAAACCTAAAGTATGTACTAGGATGTATTTCAGGAAAATATTTTAACTTCTACAGGGTGACTCAAAAAAGTGTGAGAGGAACGGGATAACTTTTTTAAATGGAACGCCCTGTATGTTACTGCATTTTTGGCTTCCTTTCAGATCACTTTCCATAATCCTATGATATTATTATATATGTTTTGATAGTTTGAAAGATATTAGTAAATAAATTTATAAAAATATTTAGCCATTTTAAAGTAAAGAAGTAAAGTAAAGATTTCAGTTAACGTCTGCTTTTTGCTGCCAGAGCTAATCTCGACGGGGCCTACTTTGTTTACGCGGAATCCAAACCGCGGTCCTCGGTCATATCATGGTCAATGACCTACCGACTTGGCAACTGTCTAAATCGACTCTTACTCACGAGATATCCGAACTCATCCGGCCTCGAACCGGCGTGAATGAGCAGTGTGTGTTAATAGATTTTACACTTTTGTCTTCTTTCGGACAACGCACGATACAGAGTTTCGAACCGGTCACCCGTCCATCCACTAGTATCGCATTATGTCGCTTAACTTCGGTGTTCTAATGGGAACCGGTGTTTCGACGTGGCTAGGCCGCTGCCCTTAGCCATTTTAAAAATATTATTAAAAATACAAGAACTGTCCTGAAAACAAAAATTCTACGGCAAACATTCTAAAATATAAAATAAATTTTCGTCGTTTTTTTTTAAGTGGACTGTATATTATTTTTTTAGTAGATGGAGAATTAAAACATTTTTTGCGTTTAGAGTATTACAAAATGTTTAACGGCTTCGCAGATACAAGCGGCATCTATACTAATATACATATAAAATCCTTAAGTGACTGACATACTGATTAATCACGATCCTGCTCAAACCACTAAACGTAAGAAGCTCAATTTTGGCATACAGGTTGATTCTAGAGTGTAGAGGTTCGATAAGAAGGGATTTTTCAAAATTCCAGTTACAAGAGGGTGAAACCACCCCTCAAATATTACAATATTTTTTATTTAAAAAACGGCCAAGTTTCCGAAAAAATGCTTAAACATATATATTTTATTTTGTTTTTTTACATATTTTAAGATTTTTTAAAAGTGTATACAGGGTGTTTCGAAAAAATCTGGTCATTGATTAATCACGATCCTGCTTAAAGTGCTTGACGTAAAAAGCTGATTTTTGGAAAACAGATTGACTTTAGGGTGTAGAGGTTCGATAAGAAGGGATTTTTCGAAGCTCGAATTCTAAAGCGGTGAAACTTCCCTCAAATATTAAAATATTTTTCATTTAAAAACCGGTGAGTTTTTCGGAAAAACTCTTAAACACGTATATTTTATTTTGTTGTTTTACATATTTTAGGATGTTTTATAAATTTATACAGGGTGTTTCATAAAATATGACCATTGAGTAATCACGATTCTGCTTAAACTGCTTGACGTTTAAAACTGATTTTTGGCAAACGGATTGACAGTGGGATGTAGAGGTTCGATAATGAGGGGATTCTCGAATCTCAAATTCCAAGAGGGTGAAAACGCCCCTCAAATATTACAATATTTTTTATTGAAAAAACAGTTAGTCTTTCGGGAAAACGCTTGGACAAGCATAATTTATTTGGTTTTTTTACATATTTTGAATTTTTTAAAAAAATCATACAGGGTGTTCCAAAAAGTTGGGTAATTTCTTAACCACGATTCTGCTTAAACTGCTTGACGTAAAAAGCTTATTTTTGGCAAACGGATTTTTCGAAAGTCAAATTCCAACGAGATTCAAACTACCCCTCAAATATTACCAAGTTATATAATAATATCGCCATATTGTTTTTTCTCATGCTGACATAAATGTGAGAAAATTTTATCCAGTTTGTATGTTAATGGAAATTCTTGCTTTGCTTTATCATCACCATTACAAATTATTAGTTCGACGCGAACAAAGTCGCTGGTACACGCTAGTTATTTCATATGGCTCTTTCAACGGTAAAATATGAGAGAAAAATCATTGAGTGGCTTTGATAAAATTTACTGTGGAAAATACCATATGAAATTTAAAATTGCGAATATCTACAAAACCGTTAAAAATTTTGTAATACTCTAAAGGCAAAAAATGTTCATTTTTTAATTCCCCATCTACTAAAAAAATAATATACAATCCATTTAAAAAAACGAAGAAAATTTATCTTATATTTTAGAATGTTTGTCGTAGAATTTTGAACACCCTGTACTGTTTAAGATAACAATAATTGTAGCATAGTAAATACACACCCGCTACAGTAAATACCTACCTAATATAGTTTTGATTTTTGAAGACATTTCTTGTATTCTTAATAAATTTTTAAAAAAGGTTGAAAAAATATTTTTTGTATTTATTTATTAATATCTTTGAAACTATTATAACATATCTAATAATATATTAGGATTATGTGAAGTGATCTGAAAGGAAGGCAAAAATACAATAATATACAGGATGTTTCATTTAAAAAAGTTATCCCGATCCTCTTACACTCTTTTGAGCCACTCTGTAGAAGTTAAAATATTTTCCTGAAATACATTCTAGTACATACTTTAGGTTTGCACTTAAACAAGATTCCCAAATTTTTTATTCTAGGAGCTACAGATGCCCGTCACACTATTGCCGAACCCTGTACAAAATAGTGCCATGATAAAACTAAAAAACAGATTAAATTAAACATACCGAAAATCATAAAAAACGAAAAGGGGCTACTGTTGTTTTTTATTAAGAATATCGTCGTTAAAACTGAAAGTATGTTTTTTAAATGTTGAAATAAATTAACAAAAAAAACGGAATTAAAAACATGGCGGTCGAAAAGAGAATAAAAAAGCGTCTGTGGTATTTTAACGACTTTAAATTAATTGTAGGGCCGAATACATTAAGGTGAGCTTGCTATCGTCATTACTTCAATGGTATAGGATGAAAGAAATAATGTTGGAACATTACGTGCCAGATTTAAATAAAAAAGCATTCTATTTTGTGAGCATAAGGCACGTAATTAAGTAAATTTCTTTAATTATTATACCAGTAAAACAATATCATTATAAACGCAAAAGCCAGGTCGTACACAGCATTATTATTTTTATGCTAAAGCACAATAGCCTTTTAAATGTTCACTTTGTTCTTAAAAAATATAAATACAAAGCATCCGGCTAATGTCTAAAATATTTTGTTTTTCAAATAGCCTAATGTATAAATATGAAATATTTTTTCTAACTATTTAAACAGTTCAGACTTCATGTATATTTAATGACTCAAAAAGAATAAATACAATCATTCAAAAAGAATCTATATAGCCACGAGAAAATATTGCTAAGCTAAAAATATTTTAAACCGCTCCTCTTTGCTAACGAGACAAAATTATGTAGAATTAATAACAATCCCATCAAGATAACATCGTCCCCCAAAGTACTTCTGCATTTATTAACATGCTTAAGCATGTCGTAAACAGGAGAGCCTTTCTCCCAACAATTCCTTCGCTTGGGGTTGTTTGAGACACTTACACTGCTTTTTGAGTAAGTGGACTTGTATGTGCGTTTGTTTACAAGCGTTAGAACTATTAACACCTAGACACGGTTTCCCGCTAGCATCTTGAAGGCAACATAATATTAATATCTTCAATTAGTTAATCATATTTTTAATAAAAACCTAATTTTTACGTATATTTATGAATAGGGTAATACACTTTTAACAAGGTGCCAAAAAGTTGCCGCAACTGTGTTTAATTAATAATAATAACTGATTTTGGAGATGACATTACGTTCATTAAACTTTTTAATTTATACAGGGTGTCCCTGAAAGAGGTGCAAGTATTTTAAGGGGTGGTAGATCTCGATAAAAGAAACGTATTTTCTCTTTATCCTTTTTCAAATAAGTCCAAAATAACGGAGTTATTTTACTTTGAAAATTTCCAAAAAAAAAATGATTTTTTGCTAAAATTTTGAGATCGTTTCTGGATTTTATTTCTTGTAAATTTAATCTACTATCTATGTTGCCATATTATCGAGAAATTATTTTTTTAAATAAAAACTAAAAAAAAATCCAAAAAAAAAAATTCAAAAAATTCCGAATTTTCCAAAAAAAAATTTTCGCGAAAAAAAACTCATAGGCGTGTTTCTGGGGTTGAACTATACTGCCAATTAAAATACTAGCACTTATTTCTGGGACGCCCTGTATATCAAATTAAAGCTATTTTTGTTCTGTACATGCTACAAGGGTGTCTATCAAAAAGTTGCCGCAAATAGGAGTTGCCACGGTTCAAAGTCGTTCCTACTTCTTTATACGGGATCGGGAACAGTGCGTCGGTATCTGTAGCTCCGATAATAAAAAACTTATTATCAGAAATAAGTGCCAACATACAGTATGTATTATGATGTATTTCAGGAAAATATTTTAACTTCTACAGTGTGGCTCAAAAAGTGTGAGTGGATCGGAATTGTTTTTTTAATGGAACATCCTGTATATTAATCCTTTATTAGATGGATAATTAAAAAATGAACATTTTTTATATTTAAAGTATTTCAAAAATTTTAACGATTTCGCAAATATTCGCGTTTTTATTAAAGATGGCTCTTTCAACGATAAAATACCAGACTGATATTGACACAAGATACAGTCATTAAAAAAATGCCAAAAAATGTGAAAACCGCATCTTTGTATCTCCACTCATAAACGGGAAACTCTGCAAAACACACAAAAATGGGACTGTACAAAGTACCACAAAATTTAATTTAATTTATCTATATAAGTTGTGGTTTTATGTTCTTTATGCGTATATTTTTTTATTTTTTGTAGTTATTCTGAAAAGAAATCGTCTTATTTTATGTGGGTTTATTCTTATATTATGTACTTCTACAATAAATTAGTTAAAAAAATAATATACTTGATAA